TATGACTAGCTTGTGTTATGCAAACTGAGCAGACTGGTACACTGTGACTGACTTCTCTTCTTTACCCGTTTAAAGATATGCTTGTGTCTTGGAAAAGTTTTAGCTTGTCAGAATGGATCATTTTGCATAATTTCTTCTTTTAACTGCCCTAGAAATATTTATTGAAGGATTTCTCTCTCTCTCCTTTTCTCTCTCCCCTCCCCCCACACAAATACATTTAGTCTGACATATTATTATTATTTTTGCTATTTTTCAAAAATAGTTTTTCATCAGGAGAGCTAAGGTGACATGCAGGGCAATGAAGCCCTGCTCTGCTTCTGATCACTGGAAGTCTTATTCAGTCATGCTTCAGGCATTGCCTATATACTTTCAGGTTTCTAGCCACAGAAACTTGAAAAGTTTCACTTTAAACTTACTTTTAAAGTAAATGTCTGCTGAGGTTCTCAGAAAGCTGAATTCTGCACCAGATACTAAATCCTGGAGGTTTACTACACCCTCTGAACTGCAAATAGTACGTGGTTTCAGATTTATTAATTTTTATGTTCATTTTATGTACTTATACCATACTTTTTATTGCAGATATACAACATAGCTTTTGAGTTCTGTGAGTTATGGACCTGGAGAGATTTCCATATAGAACTCTAGTAGGACAGCTGAAGACAGCAATGCATATTATCCAAACGTGAATTTTACACTGTCAAAAGGCGCACTTGATATTTTCCCAAATTCCTAGTCAGCTATGAAACTCATTGAGTGATCTTGGGTCAGTTGCTGTCTTTCAAACTTACCGGTTTGTCATGATGTTAAACTAAGGTCTCTCTCTCTCTCTCTCCCTCTGTGTGTGTGTGTGTGTGTGTGTGTGTGTGTGTGTTGAACTCTGCATACAACTCTGGCCTTCCATGGAGGAAGGTTGGAATCACCAGCACTGGCAGATTAACAAAATTTAGGGGAGGTGTTCTCAGAAATTTGGGGAAGGGGAAACTTACATAGAAACCTTTTAACTGCAGACACTCATATTTCTAAATAGCTCCAACAAAAAAAATGACTGAATATTGTAAGCTCCTTGTTTTTTTAAAAAATAATATTTATTAATAATTTCAAAATTACAGAAAAGAAAAAAAAGAATTAAAAACAACACTACAATACAAAGGAAAAAAACAAGAAAAAAAAACAAGACATAAAAACCAATGCAACAATACAGCAAAAAGATAAAAAAGAAGGGGGGGGAAAAAGACACAAATCCCATATTACATATCTTTAACTTCCATTTGCTTGTTTCATTGACCTCCTCACACCTCCCTTTTTGTATTCTAGTTTGACTGATTATTTCAGCAAATTCTTTCCATCTTTCTCAATTTTTACTAAATAATTTATCTTAACAATTTAACCTATTAATTAACTCAACAAATTCTTTCCATCCTTTCCCCATATTCTGTTATTCAAATTACCTTAAGTTATTTAACCTTATCTTACCAAAAAATACTTTAGAGCTTAACGCTTAATACTCGATTATACATAACTCCTGATATCTTTTCTACTAGAGTCATATAGTTTCATTCCAACATTTCCCCTAATGTTCATTAATTTTAGGCTAATTCCCTAGGGGGAAAAAAATTCTTTATAGATTTTCTTCCAATCTTCATCCAACGTCTCTTCTTCCTGGTCTCGGGTCGTGTCAGTCCTTACTGTCCATTCCATCTAGTCCATCAACCTGGTAATCTAATGTCCGAGGCCCTTAAGTCTCTTCCATGTCCCTTTTGCAGATCTTCTTCTTCTTGTTTATACTTGCACTTTTCCTTGTCTTTTGTTGGTCTCTTTCTTAGTTTCTTTCCTTTCTCGTTGGGGAGTAGGTCTCTGGGGGATTCCAACCCAAAATTATCTTTGTCTCCCTTCATCCAACCAGCCCATTCCCCAGAGTCCCACTCCCCACAGTCATCAATATAGTCCAAAACATATTTAAAAACATATTTCGAGGTCTCTCCAAAGTTAAGAACCTCCTCAGCTCCAGACTCCCCCTGGCCGACTCCAACTTCAATCTTCAAAGACAGCGGCTTATGCTCCTGTAGGGCCTCGGGTCTCTCCATTTGTATTATTTGAGGTGCAACCGCAACCTCCTCCATTATCTTCTGCACTTGCCCCATCAGTACAGGTTCCTGAGTTGGTCCCTGAATAGTTTCTATATCAATATTCCCTGTTTGTCCACAGTTATTAACCACAACAGTCATCAAATCCATTTTCTCATTCATCAAATCCATCTTCTCATGCATCTGTTCCAGCAAGGCACTTGTCTTGCGTAAAGCAGGCACCAAAACTTCCTCCCAGCTCATATTTAGTCAAGGTCAAAAAGGACTGGTCCCACGATCTTAATCTGACAGCTGTAGAGTCCTCAAGTAGACTGCAGCAACAATTTAGCAAGCTCCCTCTAGAGGAGACAATTTCTATTTGTATCCATTTTTTTTAAGGCAAGTCCAACAAAGGAAAATTACTTGCATTTTTCAGATATTTTGTTTCTTTAGAATGCAGAAGGCAACATTGGAATCAATTTATTTCTCTTCTTTAGCTATCTGTCAAAGTATTCCATTCACAGTCAATGAACCTCTCCAAGAATTTCTGTCTCTGACACCCCGTTCCCAGGCTAGAGACGGTGGAAACTTATCTTTCTTCACTCCCTCTCCTGCATGCGTTAAACAAAGTCCCCCCCCTTTTCTCCTGCTTCCAAGGGGGTTTCAGTAATTATAAATGAAGGAAATTTAAACTTTTTTAACGACTTTCTGGGCTTTAGCTTACAAGGTTTTTGCTTCAGTCTATGTACAAAAAGCGGAAGGCGGACTTCCTGTTTTGAACCTTCCCGCTTCGGTGCCAAATTAAGATCTTTCTTGACCCAATTTTCCGTTTCTACTCACGGGTACTTGTTTTAAATCCAATTGTCCACAGGAAAAAAGTCAGCGCTCTCCGGCAATGGCTGTGCGGCTTCGCTCCGTGAAAGTAGCAATCAGTTCGCAGCACCGCGCCGCTCACCCCACTTCACTCCGGAGCCCCAAAATGGGGTTCCCGGTGCGTAGGGGGGGCGCTCCTGGTGCCCTGCCGAACCCCACGTTCCCAGGCTTCCTCCGCCTGGGATTTCTAGCGGGTCCCCACCTTCGCCGCGGCGGGAAGACCCAGTTTCCACGGAGCCAGTTCCTCCGGTCGGAGGAACTCTGCCATTCGCCGATGGCACTAACCCGGAAGTCTGAATATTGTAAGCTCCTTGGAGGCAGGGAACCATATTCCTTTTTTTGCAAGTGAAATCCAATGACGCTCCATAGAAGGGGTAAAGAGATTTAAGGGAGATAGGGGGCAGGGGGCCTGTGAGCCAAGGTGATATGGGAGCAGGGGGTGAAAGTGACGGTTGAGAAGAGGCAGGAATGGTACGTACATTTTAATACACTGATCTAAAAGCCAACAACAGGCAAATCTTTGGCTTCTGTCTATAGCTATTGTGACTGATAGCTGGCAGTCACAAAAGATGCACCTGGTAACATGCCATTCCAGTCACAGCAGTCCCCCAGTTGACATCCTGTATAAGTGGGGAATTAGCCCTTGCTGAATACCTGATCGCTGTGCTCTTCAGATGTTTAACAAATGTTATGAGCTCAAGTGTGCATCTCAAATGTATATTTATATTGTTGTGCATTGTGTAATGTGTCTTCGGGGCCCTATTGTAAACAAGCTGTCAAGCTTAACTGGGTTTTCATGCAAAAATACCTTTCCATAAATAAATTAAAAATCCTCCAAGAAGCCTCTCTTAATGGGTCTGATTAGCAGATACTAGAGCTCAGCTGAACATTCGCATTTCTAAGCCATCTCACCTCAGTGAGTTGAATACCCTCAATTCAGATGCACAGAAGCTCACTTGAATCTTCAAACTGTTAAAGGTTTCTAATTCCTGAGGGGTAACCATGTTAGTCTCTTGCAGGAAAACAAAAACCAACCTGGCACTTTCAAGATGAACAGATTTGTGATAGTATAAGCTTTTGTGTATTAAAAGCCACTTCCTCAGATGAACAGCATTTTATCTTGAGTAACCTAGATAAACAGAGATGCATGGTTTTGTGTAAGTATATAAATTATGAACAGTGAGGTCAGATTGGAATAAAATGCAGAAAGGTCCAGACAGTGATAATTACATACTTAACAGTGGAGCAGCCCCTCTGGCAGACTCAGATGCCAACTCTGTCCCCATATCTACTCTAGTAGTACTCTTGTGGAACCTAATAATGTCATCCACAACTTTAGGGGTTCATTCAACTGCTCATCTACCAATGTGATATATATCACCATCTGCCAGCAATATCCATCTACATTCTACGTTGGACAAATCTGACATCAGGAATGGCAATATTTGTTCTGGGAACAAGGAATCAACCTCTGATATTCTGAAAAAGCCATTTCCCTTAGCCAGGAGACCGAGAAGCTTTGGGGAGCCCAGAGGAGGCAAGTGACCAAGAGTGGAGGAACCTTCATCTTGCCTAAATGCCACATAATAGCCCTCAAGGACAGCCCTTAGGGCATAAGATCTGCAAAGCCTCCCTCTCTTATTTTTGAGACTATTATAAATCACGACTGAGGTGATCTGTCTGCTAGTTGAAATTTACATCTGGAGTGTGAGCTAACTTCCGGCTTAAAAAGTGATGATCATTAAAAGATTGAAAGCAAAACAAAAAACTTGTTTTAATTGTTTGCAACCAAGAAAGTTTTTAAATGGCTGATGAGTGTTCTGACTGTTAGAAATCTTCCCAAATTTTTTTTTAATTTTTTTTTAAAATGTTCCTTCTCCTTCTTGGAAGTGTTGTCTTCAAATTGAAACTACTTTCTCCACATCACTGTGGGGGAAAAGGTGGTTTAATAAGGAATGCTGTGAATACCTTAAGGTGAAGATGGGAGACTGAAGCTCTTAAGGTAGAGATTGCGAAGACCTTAAGGTGGAGATTGAATTGTTAATAAGATCAAGAATATTTAGCATGGCAAAAACATTTTTGGACACCTCATTGACTGCTGGCATCTTAGAGCAATTATTGGATGAGCAACTAAAAGAGATCAGAGCTGAGACTGATAAAATGGTGAATGAAAATGGACCAGAGAAGGATGAAATAGAGAATGAAATTAAAGAAGACACAGAACCTTTGGAGAACAATATTGATAAAGGATTGCCAAAACAGGAGAGTGAAATGGTAAAGTTGGAGGCAGTAGATGCTGAAATGGAGAAGACATTCACACAGGTGCCTAGAATAATGAAACAGTCAAATGCTGGAGTTATGATGTTGGAGGAGTGGAATGAAGCCATGGACAGAGAGATTAAGAGACATCCCGAGCTGACCGAGATAGAGCTGAGAGAGAAAGGATTCTGTGTTCAGTTTGGAGTGAATTCAGAGGAAAAAGCTACTAAGTCTCTGATGATTCTCCTTGAAGAAGTTGAAATAGAATGAACTTAAAAATAATAATTAGGATGGCAAATCACGGCCAACATATATTCCAATATATGGAACTGAGTGTGAATTAATGAATAGACAATAAGTAAATAACTATGGAATATTGTTTGAATGTATGACCACAGTGGAGAGACTCTTGTGTGAATAAAAACAAAAGGATTTATGATCAAAAACCCAACTGAAATGTGAATGATAACAGTCCACTGTTCCACCTCAGGGGTCTACTTCCCCAACCTGCAAGTGAATGTCAGAAATACAAAAACCAACCAGATTCTGCACTTTCGGACTCAATTCTGTTTTAAGCAGCTATGTTCTCTGTTATTGACTGAAGCCACTTGTTCCTTCACAAGCCTAAATAATGAAGCAATGAAACCTGAGCCTTATAAAATCTGGGATGTCCCCCCCTTACCTCACTAGAATTAACGTCCAAGGTGCCCAAGAGCTGCCTATAATATGAAGAACATAAACAGATCATCTCTGGCAATCAGGCCAGCAATTAGTGCTCCAATACTACAATAATCAGATATGAATGTCCAAATACTGGATCTATCCTGAGGTGCTCATTTTTTTATTTTCTCACCTTCAAGACATTTCATTCAATATTATGCTAGGATGATTACTGAGAAGGGGGTGGGTAGAAAGAGAGGGAGAGTGATTGTATGAGTGGTTAATCAGAAGAGAGTGAAATCTTTATATGGAAATTAGCATTTATATTATTTATCATTCGTCTTTTGTTTTTTTATACCCCTCCCCTTTATTTTGATTTTCACCCCTCTCCTTACAAAGGTTTTTGCACATGGATTCGGAGCAGCCGTAAAACACACACAGAGAGGCACAACCAAACAACGAACTCCCAATTTTGCAAAGGCCTACCTTCCGCGAACAACATATTGCATGGCTCCCCACCTAATTATTATTTGCGCTAAGAGCTATTATGTAAATATATTAGCACACACAGGCTTAAAGAGTGTGTGCATGCCTCAGGAATGGGGGGGGGAGAGAGAGAGAGAGAGAGAGACGTTCAGATTTACCGCAACACTGTTCTGCGAATGCAGACCCTTTAATAGAGAGTGGCATGTCCTTACTCAAAGGGCACCACTAGAAGCCATATGTCTCTTTTAGTGCTTAGGTCCTGAAAGGAGGTGCTTACGCCTTTTCTAATATTTTCCAATAAATATGTATGGGACCAGTCAGACCAGCATCAATACACCTACCCACAAACACACACACACACACACGAATTAGTCACAGTGCCACACAGCCCTCTTGGAACAATGAGCAGCTCTCTGGAAGACCCTTGAATGGGAGCCGATTTGCCTCTTAATCCAAATGAATAATTAATGATAATTATCATGCTGCAGTTATTATCTGTGATAATAATATATCCGTAAGGTGAATAAATTCAATCTGCTACTATGCAGAAATGGCAACTCATAATATTCTTAAGAAATACAGATATAATTATCGGTATTAACGGTCAAGAAAAAGGGGAGGAGGGGATAGAAACAGGAGGTTTCTATATCCAGAGTTGGCATCAAAAGTCCATAGTAAAAATAAAAATAATAAAAGAAGACCGTGAGTGATGATGATGATGATGATGAAACAAATCCCAGTAGCTAACAATATGAATCAAATTTTCTCTTGTCGTTCCTGCGGCAGTGGCTAGGAACAACCCATCTCAAACAGCTTCATTTCCCTCCTATCCTATTTAAGAGTAGCTGAAATGTGCATTTGATCATTGCTGGTTCTGGGCTCAGATCTCCACCAGTTCCCTGCTAAAGGATGATTAAGTTTCTTTCAGATCTTGTAAAGAGCCTTATGGATGTTTGTCAATTGAGAGAGGGGAAGGAGTTGGAGTGGGGGTGGGGGAGAAAGAAGCATACTCATTCATTGCAATAAATAAATAAATTTCTAGGCATGTATGAAACTCTTAGAAAATCAACCAGAGTTAATAAACTGTGCCTTGTTTTTGAGCCTGCAGTGCACACACACACCCATCTTTGTCTAGCTGGGGGGAAAGAGAGAGAGAGAGAGAGAGAGTTTTGTTGCCAACTCCCCAGAGTTGCAGGCAACTAATCCTGGATTTCTCTAACCTCCCAAGGTTTTTATGGTGATTGAAATGGAAGATGTTAGGAACAGGGGCCTCTTAACAACTCTCAGCACGCTTCTCAAACTACAGGATTCCCAGGATTCTTTGGGTGTTTAAAGTGGTATGATACTACTTTAAATGTGTAGCGCAGATGAAGCCAAGGTCAGGGATTGTATACATAGGGTTGTAATCTCATTTTTGCCTGTTGGGGGGTCTAGGCTGTGTGAAAAAAATTCAACTCAAGACACTGAGATGAGAAAAGAAGCCTTAGATTGCAAAATTTATCTACAGTGGTATCTCAGGTTAAGAACTTAATTCATTCTGGAAGTCCGTTCTTAACCTGAGGTACCACTTTAGCTAATGGTGCCTCCCGCTGCCACCGCGCCAGTGGCACACAATTTCTGTTCTCATCCTGAAGCAAAGTTCTTAACCCGAGGTACTATTTCAGGGTTAGCGGAGTCTGTAACCTGAAGTGTCTGTAACCTGAAGCGTCTGTAACCCAAGGTACCACTGTATGGGTTTATTGCCTTTGCAGCTCTTCTTCCAAGGGCGCCAAAATGGTGTCCATGCAGTTAAGCTGTTCTGTTATGAAGTCTCCACTGGGAAGTAGATTAGGCAGAGATACAGTGGCTGAATCCAGGCCTCCTTAGCCCAGGGTAGCCAACACCTTCAGATGTTGCTGGCCTCCAACTCCCATCAGCCCCAGCCAATATGGGCCAATGATCAGGAATGGTGGAAGCTGTGGTCTAGCAACATGCAGAGGGCTAACTCACATCTGCATGTCAGACAAGCCAAACTCAAATATGTTACGTATATGCAATGATTCATAGCAATCCATCAGGTATTACTTCATTTTAGTGTTCACAAATGGCACCTCTCATTGAGCCCCTTCATTTAGGATGTTTTGTTCTTGACTGAACTTATTTAGAGGGTCCATATGTTTTGACATTTGACTGCAACTCAGCACCAGTAGCTTAACTGCATCTGGAGAGGACTTCAAAGATGACGAATGAATATTCCAGGAAAGGTGGACACCACAGACAAAATCAGCTTCAGCTGTGGTTGCCGACTTCTGATATTTAAAACACTGATCTCCTGACTAGGTCCAGAAGACATGGGTCAAGTGGATTGGTGAGGGGTAGAGTCTGGTGGAATCTGACAGATCATGAGAAGAGCTAGGCAGAACCTAGTGGTCTTTCAGCAAAGTGAAGATGGGACGTGGCAAAACAATAACAGGGTAAGGGGAGAAACAAGTGACTCAAGAATGAAATTAGAGTGGAATCTAGCAAATCCTGGATGGGAATGTGTCAGATTCCTATTTGTCAAAAGCAATAGCAACAGTGGCGGTGGCAGCAAGAAGACTGTTAGGCTGGGGTTCTCAAGTTTGTGTAAAGACCCTCATGAAGATTTCTTCAAGAACACAAATTCAGTTGTCGCAAAATCCTTCAGCCCTATCACTTGTGGTGGATTTTTTTGTAGTACAGTGGTATCTCGGGTTAAGTACTTAATTCGTTCTGGAGAGCTGTTCTTGACCTGAAACTGTTTTAACCTGAAGCACCACTTTAGCTAATGGGGCCTCCTGCTGCTGCCGCACCGCCAGAGCACAATTTCTGTTCTCATCCTGAAGCAAAGTTCTTAACCCGAGGTACTATTTCTGGGTTAGCGGAGTCTGTAATCTGAAGCGTATGTAACCAGAAGCGTATGTAACCCGAGGTACCACTGTATTCAGAAGACTATTTCAGCAAAGTTTAAATCTGTCTATTTACCAGTTCAAAGTACAAGTGCTCTCAGAAGTCAAAACATTCATTCAAACTACTCAGTGTTTGCAGGCAGAAATGTTTAGCAGCTTTCAGTGCACATTCGCCTCATTATTGGCTCATTTAATTAAATATTCATTCGTTCATCTAGCAGTTCTTTTGGCAATCCAGCAAGTTGTTGATTAACTCGGGTCTCATGACGAAAGGAGGAAACAAAATATGAAGTACTGTGTTCTGCACTATTTTTCTAGAAAAAGAGGTGCCGGAACTCACCATGAACACCTCCCTTGTCTCTTATCATGGCAATGGCGCCTCCCTGAGAGGTGTCAAAACTGAGTTCTAGGGAGTTCTAAGGTGGAATAAAGCCCTGACTGTGTCACAAATGTACCAGTTTCACCAAACTTTTGAAGTGGCACAACTCTAAATGTTGCTACATTTCACAATGGCCAGATTGTTATTTGCCCATATTTTTGTCAAAGAGCCAATTAATGCAATATGTACAAGTGAAATTAGCAGGAAACTCATCAAACATATTATTTGCTTGTTTGTACGTTTGTTTTTAGCATGTCGTCTGAAGCTCCGGAATGCAAAGACCTCTGGGTGACTCACATTAAATAAATGAAACCCACAACATCTTCCTGGAGGTGCAAATAAACCTACTCTGCTCTGGTAAGATCTTCAAGAAATGACTGCGCAGGTCTGCAAAACAAAATAGTTTCCTCCTTTGGACCATGTTTTATTGTGTTGAGTACAGTCGAGATTATCAGAGTTGAGTATGAGCCCCTGAAAAGCACTGAAATGAAATACATTGTTGTTATTGGGTCTGGTAGGGTTAGAAAGCAAGGAGGTCAACAGGAGGGGGAGCCAGAGCCAAAGACAGGCATGGCCAACTCATCCTAGTGTTGTCCTCCCTATTGAGTTCTACAAGAGCACCACTGAGAAGGGGGAGAAGGAAGCTGACAACCAGTGCCACCTCCTGGATGAGTTGGAAGTAAGAAGGCAGGCAGGTGGGAAGTGGCTGAAGGCAGACCAAGGTCGGGGTGCCCCATTTTCCCTAATGTACAGTGGACGCTCGGGTTGCAAATGTGATCCGTGTGGGAGGCACATTCGCAACCCGCAGCGTTCGCAACCCGCAGTGCCGCATCTGCACA